GATTAAGTGAGTTATCGGTAGAGTGCAAAAATTGTGACAGCAGTTGGAACAATGCTCGGTTTGAAAACTTTGAATAATTCTTGCGCAAGGTGATTTAAGGTGATTTAAGAAGTGATCTATTCAGTTTCCCCACATTCAAACGATTAATTCCAGACTGACAAGACTCTTATTCAAGACTAGCTGATAATCTCGATGACTACTTATACGGAAAATAAGTAGTGCAGTCGATTGTAAGGACAGAGGCATGGAACCTAGTCAGACTAAGTCGCCTAATATGAGCTTGGGAATGATAGTTGAGTTTTCGCCACAGAATCAAATGAGTGTCAAGGCTGGATGCACTTTCCGCTTCGTCCAACTGGTCTCGTCGGCACCCCAAATGGGACTTGAACCCGATAACCTATAACGCTGAATAGCCTAAACCAGTTAAGATGATTTAAGGACTGAAAGTTGAGTTTTTATCATCTGACTGTGAATGAGATCTTTTAATGAGATCTTGGAAACTTTGAGCAGCATGTTGATTTGTGCAACGATCCAACTTACTGTAAACGGTTGTTGTCATTATCAACTAAATGGTGAATCATTCCACTCACTCTTCCCATTCGCTGGTACCGATTTTGAGTCCCGATTTGCTGGGTTCGAGCGATGATGCGCAGAGCAGTTTCAGCGCAAAATTTTGGCTTTCGGCTCAGCCAACTTACACCTCCTTTCTAACGTCAAACTAGTGGGGCGTTTTTGAAACTCATATCTTCTTCATACCTTCTAGTCATGTGAGTCTGTCACCGTAAACGAGCTCAACCAACTCGGAAGCTGCTCTAGTGACTCTGCGCCTCAAGTTGGCATGAGTCATGAGACGGTCTAAAATGATTGGTTTCTGTAGACGACCTTCGTCGACTTGTAATGGAGAACTGTTCACATACAGAAAATTGCTAGATTCTCCGTAGATTAGCCAGTCATTTTGTTTAATTTTCATCTTTTTTCAGAGACTACTTTCAACGATGATAAGTAACGTGGTGAACCTGGAGTTATTTGGACTGGCGCAAAGAAATCGGGTGAACAAACCTCCTTCAAGTCGTATCTTGTGTGAAAAAGGGTGCCAATTCGACCCGATCACAATCGTGTGATTCTGCAACCAGTCGCAAGTTGACTCAGTTCATGCGACAGCCTCTTTCGGTACCAATTAAAACGGACTGAATAAAGCATTGCCGACTTGGGGTCTGTATCGAAAGTGATATCCGGCCTAGGACAGGTATAATTTTAGGCAGATTTTTTCCAGAATCAGTCGAAGATGCCTTGTGGGCTACGCCAATCGGAACCACAAAAATATGGTTACTAGATCACTTGAGTCCCGGCTATATTTGGCTGACTATTTCTGCCAGATTCTGCTGATGCAATGAGGATACGGGAGATTGATACCACCGAAAAAGCGTCATAATGAGTTGTGTGTGTGTGTGTGTGTGTGTGTGTACGGAGATTTTCTGCAAAACTTGGATTCCGCTCGAAACAGAAACACCTTCCAGTTAGGCTCTGATGAAGACAATAAGCGGGAATCAGTACTGTCAGCTTCGAGTCTGGGCAATTGAGGCAATTGAGAAGAATGGGTAGACGAGATGATTAAGTTGGCCGCATCGGAGACCAGATCAGTTGTGATTGTCGAGTTGAGTGAGGTAGTCCACCGAGTTCAATATATCCGGTGTGAGAGGGATCTCTTGTCGCAGCAATGTTGCTTTTACCTTTATTTCGAGTTAAGCCAAGAAAGATGTTATTACTCACATTTTAATTGAGTAGCATGTCGAGACTTTAAATAAATTTTGAATGAGAAATTTGATCACCATAGACCGCTTTAGTTGATGATGAACTGATGCTCAACCTTCCCACAATTCGATGACTAGACCTCACTTTGCAATATGACTGTCAATTCTCATCCAGACTAGACTACAATTTCCACCCTCAACGGGACTCGAACCACGGTTGTGTTAGTGAAGCGTACAATTGCGACAAGGTGCCGTTTGGCTACACAAAGCAGGGGTGAAATTTTTAAGCAGACTAGACCTCTGGCACAACACAACTTTTTGTAGTGGGATTGTCGTTGAATTCAGCTTTTATTTACCATTACAATCAACAACCCTACTTGCATTTGGATTGAGTAGTATTTCGAGTTTCAGCATCATTCTGTCTGTTCATATGATTTCGGCAAAAGCAATTATCAGTCCTTCCTCAACTCAAGCTCCAATTATCACAATCACACGAGTCTGGGGCATTGTGCAATAGTGCTGTTGCAATATATATATATATATATATATATATATATATA